AGAGACTTGCTGTATATGTTTTCCCATGAAGAATAACCAACTCTTTTTAAGTTGTTCATTTTAAGTATACAGTTCACAGAATTAACGTTTATTTAATACTAACTTTAATGTAAGCGTTTGTGTCTTTAATGTAGGGGTTAAGAGCTCAGATGTCCCAGCTTTTCACCAGCCTTGAACGCACCGTTACCTTTGTGAATCTGGAGGGATAAGAAAATCTCAAAAGTCACATTCAACAGCTGATTTGTGCACAGCAGCTGATTTGTGCACGTGTATTTGACTATTTTTCTGCAAAGAATATTCCTTCTTGTGCAATTTGAAATGTGCACATTTGGAAAAGTGTTTTGTGTGAATCTTGCACATTTGTGACTTTTGAGACTGATTTATCTTCATAGAGGTCTGAATCATCTGGAACACATCTGTGTGTTTATGGGGAGCAGATCTTTTGAATCCGGCCCAGCAGTGATGGTCACAATCCAGGCCCCTCCTCTGTACGTGCACATTCTGCGTGCACAGAAACATCTGCCTCAACATAAACGCGTGGACATGTTGAACAAAACACTCAGAAATATTAGTTTGTTTTTCACGGGTGCCATCACATCAGCTCCTGGGCTCTGGAACACGGACTGGTGGCTCATCAGAAGGTCCTGAGATGATCCTGGAGCTGATGATCAAACTGATTACAGATAAACAAATCTGAAGGAGTCTCTCCTCGCGCTGGGGGGGTCTCCACCAGCTGCCAGAGGAGGAACAAACTTCATGGAAAGCTGAAGAAGTTTTCTAAAAGTTGGTGATTGTTGTGAAATATCAGCCGAAGGAGCAGCCGGATCAGATCAGCTAAAGATTCCTCGTGTTGACGATGCTGCGGCATGTGTCATTTTAGCTCCATATCTGTCAAGTAGGTTGCTTAGCTGTGGCAGCCATCTTGAAAGGGGTTGACTACTTTGAGAGTTTCAACAAAATTTGTGCAGTGATTTGTTATATTTTTGATAACAGAAATTAAAATAGACTTGAGCTAAAACGTCGTCTCCTTTGGGGGCAGGTGATAAAAACAAGTTCTGACCCTAAAACCAGGAGTCTCCTGGTACCAGAACCTTCAACTGAGGCTCATTCAGGTGTCACCGTCCTGTGCCCCCTGGTCTCTGGAGGCGAGCTGCTGCTGCTGGACTGCATGAAGGTGAACGTGACGCTCAGAGGAACCTGCAGCCGAAGCAACACGTGCACAGAAGCAGTTTCAGCAGTTTGCTGAAAAGGTTAAAACTTTGTTGTTAGAGCTTAAATCAGAACACTGGCTAAAAGAAGCAAGCTATAGCTAGCTAGAAAAAAGTAGCAAAATAGCTACAAACTAAAAGTAACAAAACACTACTTAAGAGCTAAAATGGCAAAAGGTTAGCTAAAAGGTACATAAAAAAAAGCAAAATAAGCAAAAAGGATAAGTAAAAGGTAAAGTAGCAAACCTCTAGAAGAAAGCAGTAAAAGCTTAAGAGAGTTGGAATCAGTCTCCCCACCATCACAGACATCTACACCTCCAGATGCAGGTAGAAGACCACCTGCATCATGAAGGACCACACTCACCCAGCACACACACTCTTTGCCCCGCTCCCCTCAAGAAGGAGGTTGAGGAGCATTAAGTGTAGAACCACTAGACTGAGGAACAGCTTCTACCCTGAGGCTGTTAGACTCATGAATCTCTAACCAGGAAAAATCACTGTAATGACACTTTATCTGTGCTGCTGATTATCCATGCTGCTGATCTCATGCTTCTGATGATTTCATGCAGCTGATTATCTCATGCTGCTAATTATCTCATGCAGCTGATTATCTCATGCTGCTGATTATCTCATGCAGCTGATTATCTCATGCTGCTGATTATCTCATGCTGCTGATTATCTCATGCTGCTGTATTCATTCATACCTATCTGCTCACCACAGACTCATGTTCGGGCTGCTGTTACGTGGTATTGTTTTACATTACAGTAGTCCCTCGCTACTTTGAGGTTCGTTTAACGCGGACTCGCTCTATCGTGGCTTTTCAAAATAAGATCGGACATGACACACAATTGGTTGAATGATGGATGAACCACACAATCAGCATGGAATTTTTATTTTAAATAAAATTATTTTAAATTATTTAGCAATTGCTGAACTTTTTGTGTAGCCCAGAACTGCAGAAAAAGCTTCCTCTTGCACCTTTGTGCAGCCCTTACTGCAAGATAAACTTCCTGCTGCAGCTGATCAGCTGTTCTCCGTGCAGAGCTGAGAAGTGGGCGTGGCCAAGAGCGCTTGGAGGTAGCAAAGAGCAGAGGAGGAAGGGCGCTGAATTCATGACATGCTGTGCTCCTTTTGAGCAGTTAGAGTTTAGAAACATTGTTTAGAATATTACAAGAGTGTGGGAAGGGTTTAAACTAGACCACGGATGAAGAAGAGGAATTTAATACATTGGTGTTGCGTACAAAACGGTCCGTCGCCGGGCAGTTTATTGTGCGACACCAAGTACGCGTATGCAGTTGTAAACATTTATCTTTGTGTGGACATGGCTCAAGAACGTCCGCTTCGAGACCACGTTGAGTCTAATCCGGTACGCGTGGACTTCTTTGGAGTGATGTACACCCGAGTATGTGGGAGCCTTTACTCTGTTTGTGTCGGGGGACTGGACCTTTGGGATGAACCAGTCTTTGTGGTAATATATTTTGGGGTTTATAAACCACTGGGACGTTGTGTTTAGAAAATAAACATCTCATTTTCTCTGATGAGTATCATACACAAGACCTCAACATACAGAATGACCACTGGTCTGGGTCTGGGTTCCTCCTTTTCACCTGATGTCTGACTGGAGTCCTGTTTGGGTTTCTTCTTTCAGGAAAACCCAGTTAGAATATCCACATTGCTCCAGGGCCTGTCTTTGTGAGGATTTGTGTTCCCCAGTGTGGCTCCCTCTTGTGGTGTGTCCTAGCTCCTGCGCTCCCATCTTTTCCTGATGGTCTCCTCCCCAGGTGTTAGTCATTGTCTGTCGTCAACATCTGTAAGTCTGTGTCTCTGTGTTCTTCTTTGTCTGGGCATTGTCTGGTATGATGTTATGGTTCTGTCTTCCTCTGTCTCATCCCTGAGATAATGTAAGTTTGCTGCACGTCAGCTTTTGTTTTTACTTTTTTTAAAGATATATATTCTACTTTAAATCCTGAGTTTTCCCGAGTCCTGCCTGCACATGGGTTCTACCAAACTCCAGAACTGTAAGTCTTGTGTAGGATTTCTCCTTCTGCCTGGCTCCTGAGCTAGTGGGGACGCTGTCTGCTCTGTGGTACAGAGTCCTGATGACTCCTAACGTGCTCCAAAGGGTGATGGGAGTCAAACTGCAAATACTGGTCTGTGTGGGTGGGTTTGTGGTACACCTCTTTGTAAATGTCCTTCATCAGAAACTGAGACATCAGGAAAGCCAACTTGCCATTTTTTACATTTTCTGGTGTGAACTTGATGTATTTATCCACAGAGTTGATGTGATCAGTGAAATGTTGGACTTTCTGAGATTTAATTTGAACCCAGGTGTCGTCAACATACCTGAACCAATGACTTGGTGGTGTCCCTGAAAAGGACGTCAAGGCTCTCTTTTCTACCTCCTCCATACCTCCAGGTAGAAGAGACTTGGTGTCCTTTTCAGGGACACATTTGCAAGGAGGCCAAGGACGATGTTCGATGGAATCAAAAGAGTCCTGAAATGATGACGGGATATTTATTCAGCTGGGTCCCTCTGATTGGTCCGTAGACTTTCTCGGTGGGAGAGGGAGGAAGGGGCACAGCATCAAGCTTTACAGGTGAGCTACAATAAGATGGCCTGTCAAGGTCAGTCAGGGAGCCAAATTCAGATAAACACGATTGTTTTGAGGACAGGCAGAACTTTACTGATTGTGTCTACCTTGAGTCAATTCAATTCAATTCAAAAATGCTTTATTAATCCCAAAGGGAAATTATTTGTTGTTGTAACTCGTTATCCTCATTTCATTAAGAGATGTTATAGATGCTGATGGCTGTAGACAGGAAGGATCTCTTGTAAAGGTCCATCCCACAGTGGATCCTAAGAAACTGGCTGCAGATGCCGTCCGATCCGTCCACCCAGAGTCCCAGACTCAGCTGGCCTCTCGGTTCCCCCGGGCTGTAGGAACGCCCGAATGCCGGGGAGAACTCCTCCCAGAGCGATGGCCACTCCTCCCAGCAGTCTGTCGAGCTCCTCGTCGCGGCGGACAGACAACTGTAGGTGCCGAGGGACGATCCTGTCCTGTATAGCATCCATGATTGACAGCAGAGATAGACACATCATCAAGACTTCCAAGTCGATGAGATATCCAGCTGCGTGTGTGCAAACAGGGCAAATCAGCTCGCCTAAAGCCCGTCTTCTCTTTGAAGACATGTTATCAATTGTGTTTAGGGACCAACTGACCAAATCCATAATTATGATTCTGAAGATTTGTAGAGAGGCTCTAAGCAGTTTAACAGACAGGACACCAAAAAAAGGTTAAATCAGTCATCTGGACCAGTTTCTTTGACAAGATCGAGCAAAGCAAAGCGGAGAGGGAGAGGAGGGGAAAGGTGTCCGCCCTTGACAAGAGCAAGTGTTTAATGGTCCTCCTTTATCATGTGAACAGCTAGTTCTGGATGTCAACAACAAACTGGTTGATCCACTATGAGAAGGAGCTATTTATAAGACTGAGTTTGTTGCAGCTCCTCGGACTGAAGAAGTCCTTTGGATACAAATGTTTCAACAAGAAGAATCCACCCAGAGGATCTGACGTTACTTTGTTAGATTTTCTACCTGGATTACTGATCATGCATCAGGATGTTTACTGAACATTTCCTCTGAGGCAAAGGACGCGTTCTGTTTGAAACAAAACAAAGAGGGAGGGTGGGAGGAAGAGGAGCGTTGTATCTGAAGGGTGGGAGGAAGAGGAGCGTGGTATCTGAAGGGTGGGAGGAAGAGGAGCGTGGTATCTGAAGGGTGGGAGGAAGAGGAGCGTGGTATCTGAAGGGTGGAGACTCAGCAGCAGAGATCTCAGCTGGAGCAGAGCGGCTGTGGATGGACTCAGAGAGACTGACTCTGTGATCTGAAGGAGTGAACGTGTGGATCTCACCCCACAGCCCTGGATGTGCGTGGCTTCACAACAGCAGGATCAAAGTAAAGGTAGGGCGCGTGCGCGCGCATGTGTGTGTGTTCTGTTCTCAGAGGAAGAGGAGGCTGTTTTTGTTCTTCCCTTTGTGTCCATGCTTGTCAACGCTCGAGGGGTGAGATTCACTCCTGGAACCTCCTCCTTCACTCCAAAGGTTCCTCCTTCAGGTGAGCCGGACCTTAACATCCGCTGAAGTCATCCACGTGAAAGGAGCAGAGACGGAAGGAAACAGACAAAAGGAACAAAGATCAGCTGCAGATTTCTCACAGCTTCCTGCTCTGGAGGAAAAACAGCCGAGCACAGGCAGATGGAGAGGAGGAGGAGGAGGAGGAAGATCTGGAGGGGGCTTGTGTTTTTACGTTGCCCACATCAGATACAGCACAACACAACCGAGATACAAGAAAACAAACAGAGGTGATGATATCCCACTTTCTGCTCGTACCCTGAAGGCATCATCAAGCAAAACTCACAATAATTCTAGCTCCTTCACTAGACTGCTGTGGTGCGCGTGCGTATGTGTGACATCTTTAGATCTACCAATCCATACTTCTTCTTATCCTGATGCATGCTCAATAATCCAGGTAGAAAAATCTAAAAAAGTTAAATCTGGTCCTCTGGACATTCAAAAAACAAAACAAAACAAAAAGTAGAAACGTTTCGTCTCTCATCCAGAGACTTCCTCAGTCTGAGGTGCTGTATTCAGCTCAGTCTCTTAAATAGCACCTTCTCAGAGTGGATCAACCAGTTTCAATGATGATCATGGTCCTTCTTGAGCATGTGATCAGCTGGTTTTGGTTGTCAGCAGCAAACTGGTTGATCCACTCTGAGAAGGTGCTATTTAAGAGACTGAGCT